TTGCATTCTAATTGACACCACATTTTTTATTTTGTTTTATGGTTATTATCTGAGCATTATTGAGGTTTGTTTCCATTTACTGTTACGGTAGATTATGAGAGATGTCACTGGGACATAAGGTAAAAATTATTGGTTCTACTCGCCTGTGTGTTAACAGGAAAATCTCAGTAAGTTTCCAGCAACAGATTTACGTGTTTTTGTTTCTTTTATCCAAACCTCAGCCAGGAGTTATGAGGCAACATGCTGTGGACAAGGGTATGAAATAATCCTCAAACTCAATGAGATTCTTAGGAATATATTGAAATCCACGACAAGAAAGTATAAGGTTTGTAAAGTTTAAGTAAGGTTCATTCGTATATTTTTCGAGGGTGTCAGTGTCTCGACTCATCCCGAAGGAGGACACATATGATAATATATTGTAAACAAACCTCATCAGCAGCACGACTACAGTATGAAGGGCAAATAATATATTTTTGTTGAAATATTTAAACTAAGTTGTCATTTGCTCGTCGTTGCTTAACCTTCGTCAAGTAAATTCACAAGTGTAAGAAAAACAGCTGACATCTTCTCGGTTTGGACAAGTTTACTAAAGCAGCAAACATTTTCTCTGTACACTTATTACACGAGAACCCGACTAAGGTTATAGTGTGATAGTGAGTGGCTGCTTCACCACTGTTCTGTATATCATTACCTTCCACAACAAATCGTATAAGCTGGATAAAAATGAAGTAAAATAATTTCGTACTTTTTTATACACGCCATCAAACGGCTCCGTTAAGAAAAAGTCAACTAGATTTTACGGTGATGTAAACGATGTTACACCCAGGCGACGCCATTACTAGTCTCTTCCACTAGCCAGCGCTCTCCTGGACAGTGGGTATTGCTTAATAGGAAGTGTATTGCACAAAAATGCCATAAAAAGTGACCCTTTGAAGTTCTCTGTGTACATTATATATATATATATATATATATATATATATATATATATATATATATATATATATATATATATATATATATATATATATATATATATATATATATATATATATATATATATATATATATATATATATATATATATATATATATATATATATATATATATATATATATATATATATATATATATATATATATATATATATATATATATATATATATATATATATATATATATATATATATATATATAGTCTTTACAGAATGCTAATAATGGAAAATCACCTAGAGAGCACAGTTTAATAATCGTTAATAACAACAGGTCTGGGACAAAGAAGAACATCTAGTCACTTATTCTTCTTATTTCTTAAAGTTTCGGCTATCGCAAAGCATTTGACAGAGTACCACATCAGAGGCTTCTGAGAAAAATTAAGGCTCATGGTATCGAGGGGAAAGTTTTAAATTGGATAAAATCATGGCTCACCGATAGAACGCAGAGGGTCAGCGTAGATGGTGTTAAATCTGAGTGGGGCCGTGTAACCAGTGGGGTTCCCCAGGGGTCAGTACTGGGCCCACTCTTGTTCATAATCTACATAAACGATTTAGATACTGGGATCAGCAGTGACATAAGCAAGTTTGCGGATGACACCAAAATTGGGCGGCAAATTAATTCAGGGCAGGATGCAAATGCATTACAGGAGGATCTAAATAAACTGCAGGGTCTGAAAAATGGCAAATGAAATTCAACCAGCAAGTGCAGCGTACTTAATATTGGAAGAACAAATACTTATAATGTATACAGCCTTAACAACATCAACCTAGAGAAGTCGACTTGTGAAAGAGACCTAGGGGTACTTGTAAGCCCGAACCTACGGCCTAGAAAACAGTTCGTTAATGTTCGAAATAAGGCAAACAGAGTATTGGGTTTTATATCTAGAAGTGTAAGTAACAAGAGTGCAGAGGTCTTATTGCAACTATATCTTGCGCCAGTTAGGCCGCACCTCGATTATGCGGTTCAGTTTTGGTGCCCCTATTATAGAATGGATATAAATTCACTAGAGTCGGTGCAGCGAAGAATGACAAAAATGATTCAGGGACTTAGAAACCTTCCATATCAGGATAGGTTAAAGAAACTTAACTTGCATTCCCTAGAAAGACGAAGAGTGCGGGGAGATATGATAGAAGTATTTAAGTGGGTGAAAGGAATCAATTAAGGGGATATAGATAAAGTTCTTATAATATCCGAGCAGGATAGGACTCGGAGCAACGGATTCAAGTTGGATAAGTTTAGGTTTAGGAGGGAGATAGAAAGAAACTGGTTCACAAAGAGGGTGGTGGACGAGTGGAACAAGCTTAGCAACTTTGTAGTAAGTGCGGGAACTCTGGAAAGTTTCAAAAGGAGGCTAGATAGATTCATGGATGATAGAGAGTGGTAGTAACTCTCGACAGGAGCTGCCATGCACAGGCCAACCGGCCTATTGCAGACTCCATATGTTCTTATGTTATGTTCTTATGTATGTTTTAATGTTCAAGCAACAGCACTAATATAGCCCTGGGCAGGTAGTGATCTCCTGATTCTTTACCTTCGCCGACAAATGGGTTACTTCCACTCCCTTGGCAGGTTACTAGATTACCAAAAGGTTGTTTCACCGTCGGGAAGAACACCCGATAGTGTACTCATATACAAGGAAGGAATCCAACCCTCCCCCCAGGTCGAACCCGTGAAAATTTATAAGAACATAAAAATGGAGGAAACTGCAGCAGGCCTATTGGCCAATGTTTACCTATCTCGCGCCTAAATCTAAATTTGTCTAATTTAAAACCATTGCTATGAGTTCGCTTCTGGTTGGATAGTTTGAGTACCTTTGTAATGTCCCTTTTGTTTAGCCTTGACTTCCATTTATATACCTCTATCATATCGCCCCTCACTCTACTTCTCTCGAGGGAGTGCAAATTAAGATGCTTTAACCTGTCTCTGTACTCAAGGTTCCTAATGCCCCGGATTAGTCTTGTCATTTTCTTCTGAATTATTTCCAGGGATTCTATATCCATTCTGTAGTACGGTGACCAGGACTGAACTGAGGTCTCACAACCGCAAGATATAGTTTTAGGATGATCTCGCTAGTCTTGTAACTAACATTCCTTTGTATGGACCCAATTACTTTGTTAGCCTTAATGAACCCAAGTACTTTGTTCGCTTGTGAGCCGAAGCCTCTATGAACAGTCCTTCCCGTTTGAACTCCCACGCCGTGAGGGAGACCATGAAGCCGTGTGAGCGATGGCCGGGTGAGACACTGGGAGATGAGGTGGCACTGGGCCAAGTGTTCCCACGGTGACAGTGAGGGGGGAGTTATCCAGGGGGTCGTAGGGGTCAGGATGAGGAGAGTAAGAGGAAAATGAGACCATGAAGAAGATAGTGAGAGGAAGAAGGGATGGGGGAGCAGGAAAGAGTTGGGGGGGAGGTGATGAGGGGGGGGTGAGAGATAGGAGAGTGAGGGATGAGGGGAGGAGAAGAGGATGATGAGGAGAGAGGAATACAGTGAGTAAATAGAAAATTCTAAGCGTCACACTCATCACTAAACAGGTCATGAGGTACCACACCTACCACTGCAGGTCATGAGGTACTGTCACACTCATCACTGCAGGTCATGAGGTACTGTCACACCTATCACTGCAGGTCATGAGGTACTGTCACACCTCATCACTGCAGGTCATGAGGTACTGTTACACTCATCACTGCAGGTCATGAGGTACCGTCACACTCTATCACTGCAGGTCATGAGGTACTGTCACACTCATCACTGCAGGTCATGAGGTACTGTCACACTTATCACTGCAGGTCATGCGAGGTACCGCCGCACTTCATCACTGCAGGTCATGAGGTACCGTCACACTCATCACTGCAGGTCATGAGGTACCGTCACACTCATCACTGCAGGTCATGAGGTACCGTTACACTCATCACTGCAGGTCATGAGGTACCGTCACACTCATCACTGCAGGTCATGAGGTACCGTCACACTCATCACTGCAGGTCATGAGGTACCGTCACACTCATCACTGCAGGTCATGAGGTACCGTTACACTCATCACTGCAGGTCATGAGGTACCGTCACACTCATCACTGCAGGTCATGAGGAACCGTCACACTCATCACTGCAGGTCAAGAGGTACCGTCACTACAGCCAGTGCATCACCGTCACATATGCTACCAGGTCAACAGATACGGTGTCATCGTCCTGAGGTGGTCTGAGGCGGCATCAATACAGGTCAGAGGTCAGGTTACCAAGAGCGTCAGGTCAAACTGGGTTGACGGAAGAGGCAGTGTCAGTGTTGATGTGGCTGAGTTGTGTATGTAGCCATAAGTAGTTAAGAGGAAATATTATTTAGAGGGAAACCATATACGGTGTATGGCCTACTGTGGGTGTCCAGGATGACCGTCTCTTGTTTAAGATTAGACATAGCGAGGATGAATCTGTCTTACATAACTCTCTCTGAAGGTAATAAGCCTTAAGTGTTCCTGTCTTGAAACTTTCTTCCTGTGATCACATGTTGGTTATATTTGTCTTAAGAGTATATATAAATGTTTCTCTATATAGGATATTAACATGATCTTGGTTGTGGGTCGAGTACTGATATTGAAACAGTTTATTTAGCCAGAAATATACAGATACAGAGTGGATAATAATAACAATATTAACATGGCTGGGCCTGTTGAGAGCCTGAGCTCTTTTAGTGGCACTGATACTATACAATATACTGCACATTTATCTCAAAGAAGTATTACGTATCATGGTGGTTGTAAAATTACATATGAGAATGTTACCACGGCTATCACTTTTATTTATTTATTTATTTATTTGTTTATTTATAAGAATATACATATTTTACAGTGGAGTTGATATTCAGTAATCTGATAAATGAGGGAAGCAACACACCAAGGGTATTAGTTTGTATATAAAGAAGCTCAGAAATTCTTAACTATCCCTTGTGTTCAATATGATCTGATTAAAAAAAATATCTGTACCGTTCACTAATCTGTATTTTCTTGTTTCCAGATTTTCATGTGCCGAGTGACAGCCAGTGTGCCAAGATGAAACCCACCTCGAATCCTTGAAGTTACTCCAAAACTGTGCGAACATTTTCTACGAATGTGGTATAAATCTACGTTTTCTATGATGGAAATGAACCTGGTGCAAATAGGGACACGATGGAAAGAGACTGTTATATGTGTGACCTTATTAGTCAGTGTTGCTTATGCAGAACAGAGATTTATTCAGGAGCCCGAGAATGCGACGGCAAAACACGGAGAGAACGTGACGCTGTCTTGCAAGGTGGAGGATCGGAAGGGCACGGTACAGTGGACCAAGGATGGCTTCGGGCTGGGGTCTGACGAGGACCTGCCCGGGTACAGCAGATACAGAATGATAGTCGACGATAATCATGGTTAGATTAATTTTTATTTCTAACTCAAATTAACTCTAACATTACGTCATATTTCTGTGTAGTATGCCAAGTTTTATAATTCTCTTCGGTGTTGTCTATCTAATCCCTCCTCAAACAACTAAACCAGCAACACCATTTCCTCACGCTATACACACTGTCAGCACGTTCACAACTCTTTGTGTCTAAAACAAACATCATACCACTTTGAAAACTACCTAGTAGGCAGTAGCCAGCAGATATGGAAGTGTTCTTTATATGAGCTAACACTATGTACAAACGCTTGGCTCTATCGTCAAATGTCCTTGGATAAGTCCATTCAGTGATCCAAGTGCCAGAACACCGCTCTCGACAAAGACATAACTCCTATCCGAACCACGAAGAATATACCCAAGGCCCTTGAATTAAGCAAGTTTAATATGGAACGATTCACAACAGACATATAATCTATTGGACTTGAGAGGACTGGGCTTGCAAGTCAGATATAACGACTGCAGATCATACGTGACGAGATGAAAACTTCCATTAAATTTGAAGTATCAACATTTATAGCAGTATCAACAAAATGGTTACTTCATGTAAGTTACATTTCATGGTGTAGGATTAAACATTTAAATGAAAAATATTTACTATGGCTAGAACGGAAAACTATGAGCAAATTTGACACACAATAAAATCATCTGTTAGCATATTCAGCATATTTGGGGATTATGACGTATCGTTAAATAAAGACAAATTCCAAACTAACATGCAGGTTTAGGCGAGCTAGAGTTGTGCAGCTGAGAGCTACACACATTGTTAAGTAAGAATCAATGACTAAACCTTCCTCACTCTGACTCATAAATCGACCTGACTCCTGGACTATAATACCAGTCTTTCCATTTAGTCAAAGTTGTTACACTTGAACCTGTCTTGTTGTTGACTGAAAGTATGTCACAACAACGTTATTATTAGCTAAGGTGATCATAATGCTGGTGAAGGTATTCGGAAGGTAAGTTTCAAGGGGCATTAATAGATCAGTCTAGCGAGTCCTTATACAGTACTGCGTCTATGTCTCCATCAAGTACAGTACTGTATGTTGGAACAGAGAATTCTTCATATTTGATATTTAGACGTCGTCCTCCGCTCCAGTTATGTTTTATTTCACGGGTTTTACCGCCGTTTATCCCCCACTCTCTTCTTCCTCTCACCTCATTCGTTTAGACAAAAATTATTATCGCCTTAATCCATTCCACATGTTCGTATCACCATAAAGCTGTATCCTTCACATTCTCTGTTCTGACAAGCTTCTTATTTAATTATCCCCACTTCCTAGATTCTTTATTCTTGTTATTTCACTCCTGAAAAAGAACGTCATCTTGTCTTACATCCTTTAGAATACATTTTAAGAATAAAGTGAACGTCTCGTGCCAACACGCTCCTTTCTTCTCTTGCAGGTTATTTACCTGTCAACACTCTTCTTGCAACCCCCAGTAATTTGCTTACCTTTCAAAACTCTCCCAGCTCAAGTTCCTTCTTCTGAACACTTTAACTAAACCTTTTTTATCTCGCCTATCTCTTAATATCTGTTAACATTTTCTTCAGTATAAATATATATATATATATATATATATATATATATATATATATATATATATATATATATATATATATATATATATATATATATATATATATATATATATATGGAGGGAGAGAGAGAGAGAGAGAGAGGTTACATCAGTACTGCTTCTAACGAGCCGTCAGGCCTATAGACCACACTCAATTCAATTTTACCTGAAGATTAGACACTCCTGCTTATGTCACCTTGATATTATAATGCAATCTTCCCTAATCTAACCCCCAGGTAGCATCAGGACTGTTAAACATCAGGTTAAATAAGCTGGGGTGTCTAATCTTTAGGTGATCTCTCTTTCAATGAGCTAGAGACTTTGTACAGTGTCTCAACGCACGTGAAGAATGTAACCTAAAGAATTTTACTCAAAGAAATATTATCTGAGGTCTCTATTTTAAATTCTCAGCCTAAAAGTTTTTACTTCATAAGCACAACCTCAGAATCTCGCCTTCAGAGTAACAGCATCAGAATCTCGTTGGGCACTGTGAAGGTGGACCAGGTGGCCTCATGCAGGTCAGCCCTGTGAAGGTGGACCAGGTGGCCTCATGCAGGTCAGCCCTGTGAAGGTGGAGCAGGTGGTCTCATGCAGGTCAGCCCTGTGAAGGTGGAGCAGGTGGCCTCATGCAGGTCAGCCCTGTGAAGGTGGAGCAGGTGGCCTCATGCAGGTCAGCCCTGTGAAGGTGGAGCAGGTGGCCTCATGCAGGTCAGCCCTGTGAAGGTGGACCAGGTGGCCTCATGCAGGTCAGCCCTGTGAAGGTGGAGCAGGTGGTCTCATGCAGGTCAGCCCTGTGAAGGTGGAGCAGGTGGCCTCATGCAGGTCAGCCCTGTGAAGGTGGAGCAGGTGGCCTCATGCAGGTCAGCCCTGTGAAGGTGGAGCAGGTGGCCTCATGCAGGTCAGCCCTGTGAAAGTGGACCAGGTGGCCTCATGCAGGTCAGCCCCTCTACTCCTCTCACTCTTTGATCGGGATATATGTCCTGGTATTACGAATGCCGTCTGTTCTGTTTGGCAGCATTGTTGGCATGCCATTGTTGGCCCCAAGAAGCTCCGGGAGATTACGGCGGAGATACCTTCTGGATGTGTCCCTGAATGCCTAGGATATGGGAGACTATCTGGGCCAGGCTCCATATTGGCCACTTTATGCTGCCACAAGGCCACATGATGACCCTGGAACCCCAAGCAGTTTGCGGTGACCGTATAGTCTCTTTGACTATAAAATATTTGATGATTGTTTGTTCAATCTGTGTTTCTGGTCACCTTAAGGGGCGGCACCTGTCCGAGGGTTGTCAGCCCATAATATAGTGTTTGGTTCTCTGGCCGGGTGTTAGATCCTGGTGTTCTTTGGTTCAGTGTATAGGCTGTCATCCTCCCTTAATCAAATTCATATTTTATCATAATTTTTAGTTCATTGTTGCCTCTACCTGTATTTTATCTTACTTTTTTGGCTAGATTTTTTCTTCTTCTTTTTTTCTTCTTTTTTTGTGCTCGACTTCATATGACTGAACTGCTGAGATGCCAGATGTACAGTAATTCAAAATAGTATCTGCCAGGATGTCCCGGGAGGGTTGGTATGTGTGGCTCTGTGGTATACTGATCCTACTTTATTTGGTAATAGAACATCATATTAATTACGCCGAAATAAATACACATGTCTCAATATCTATCATCCGCGGTCTCCTAATGTTTCACACAATGAGTGGACTGATACATTTTTGAGATGCTGTACGTCTCTTAGATAAACCAAAACATTGCCAGAGTTTACCATCCAGAGACTTATTTCAGAGCATCCACTTGAGAATCTCCCTCAGAGTCTCGTCATTAGAATTTCGGCCATGGAATCTTTCCTTCAGATTATTTTACTTCAGAACATCACCTTGAAAGCTTTTCCTTGAGAATCTCTCCTTGAAAACCTCTACTAAAGGCTCCTACCCTCAGAGTATCACCTTCAGAACCTTGCCGTCAGGTACAGTGGTGTGTGTGTGTGTGTGGTGAGGTCAGCTGAGATGACTTAAAGTAGTCCTTGGTCTTCAAGCTGCACACTCTTTACCTAAACAATCTTTCTATTCAGTTTATTTATTTCGAGAACATTATTTTAAAATATCTGTAATTTTCTATAGATAATATTTGGTTTAACCACTAAATATCTGTTAGTGTATTCTAGTTAACTCTTATGTCCTGTATATTTTACCCAAGGCTTAGTGTACAATGTGCTGTATCCATGCTATTCCTAACATGTTATCAGGCCTGCATGACCCACTTACCAATCCTCTCCCAGCACACATTTTTGTTCTCTATTTCCCCCCATTTCGACTTATTACTCAAAATTCTGTCCACTTCCCTGTCAACCACTTCACAATACAATCTCATATTCTGATTGCTCTTTTCTTTTCCATTATAACTTTTGGTGAAATTATTTAAGGCTTTCCAAATTTAGTCTCTTTCCTCCTTTCTTCCATATCTCACTCCCTGTGACACATTCTTGGACTGAGCCGGTTGTATTCCATCACACTTTAACCTCTATGCCATCTTTTGTTTTTACTTTTCACACACTGATGACTTTATGGCCCTCACAGGCCCCCAGCAGCCTTCTCTTTTTGCTCATGAACATAAGTTCCATTCTTTTGTGCCTCAGTCACCCTTTTTCAATATCCTCTTTACATCCACTACTATTACTACTACTACTACTACTACGGGGCCTCCGGCCTCCCCCAATAGCCACACCTTCGCCGCCATTTTGTTACCTTAAAATTAAATATCCTAATACATAAGTAGCTACCCTAGCTGTGTTGAGTTAGTTGAGCCACAGATCTATGCGGCATTCAGTGACTGTTGCCTCATAGTCAATATCAGCAACTGTTGTCGGCTTTGGGGCCGATGCTTTCGTTCCCCTGAGGCAGAGCAAAGCAGATCTAAGGAAAGATAAGGACAGTCGACATCTCATCCAGGCTGTAACATAATTTCTGGGCTGCTGCTTCTGTTCGAATAGCACCTCCGCGAGTCTGGCATAGAAGCAGCTTGCACTTGGTCCCATCCCCCCAGAGGCTGTGAACACCAAAGGAGTGAAGCTGCCTTGATCAACGTTCTGAATTCTCTCCCGATATGCCCTTATCTTGTCGTTCCCGTTCCTTCTGTGTGCAGCATCGAGAGCTAAGTTACGGTGACATGCGGCCATGGCATAAAAAATCCTGATGTCGAAGAAGACTCGCTGTCCCCGCGTCCAGAATCCTCGAACACTGACGTCAACACAGGCTTCGTTGGATGTGTTTGAAGTCCTATGTTGGAAATTCTCAGTGTCCAATGGAAGGAAGGTCGGTTCTACCCTGACATCACAACAGAATATTTTCAACATATTTGCTGTGAGATCCCTTACTTCGTCATGCCTCATGCATATGAAGCCCCCTTTCTTGCACTCCATGGCGTGATCGACGTCATAGGAAGAGCCACACACGCATTGTGAGGGCAAACCTTCTACTGGCCTACCGTACCTTAGAGCAATGGCATCTGTAAATTCTTGTTTATTGAGACTGAAACCATTTTCCCTTATCAGTAACGTAGTTAACCAGTTCGAGGCGCCCACCTCCTGCGCTATAGCTACTTTTTTTCAAATTCTCTGGTACTTGCAGCATCAGTTGCTGCAATTTATCACTTTGGCCGTGCTCTCGTTCTGTCGAAATGGACCTTCGAATCTTGTTTACTTCATTGGTATCTACCTCACCTGTTGCGTTCTGAGGGTCATGTGGTCAGTAAGGGCTGTCGTGAGCTAAACTGAGTTTTGATGTTCGGTGGCAGCATTTTCCTCTGGATTGGTCAATCCCATTCCTACCAGACTCGGTGGTAGTGCAAGGAGTGATCTTTCTGCTGGTGTTAAGTAAAGGCGTTTCACTAATTTGGGAATGAAATTGACGCTGATAGCTTCTTCCAGAGGGTGGAGGAGGGGTCCGATATCAGGGATAGTGCGCATCAGGTAGTTCCAGCGATGCTTGACTTCATGGGTGAATGCCGCAAAACCCGCTTGTGGCTCTGTGTTAGCAATATCAGACAGAGCTTGGATTTCCCTAAACCACTCATTCACATTTCCCGTTACGTACTCGGTCTTGAAGTCCGTCATGCCGATTACTACGTCTAGGTGTCTTTAGCCATCCTTTGTTATTTTGACACCTCACTTCCACCGAACACCTCCATTGCCCGTTCATAATGTTCTGGCTTCACAATGAGGAAGGACTTGCTGGCGTTTGGGTGGTACCCTATTTGTGGGCCTTGTGATGTTACCAAGTCCCACCACTTTTTGATGTCCTCCACTTTTTCTGCGCCTGTAAGGAGCAGAAAAAAAAGAAGCATACACCACTTGCTTGACCTCGGTTGTTTCAAATTTTATTGTGTGTTGGAGCACGGATAGGCCTATTGCATACATTGCTATTGCAACAGGGTCCCCTTGCGTTCTTCCCTCGGTTGACTGTATGATGCCATCACCTCTTAAAGCCTTGGTGTTTACTATACTGTATAGAGGTCTGATGGATTCCTATAAGTGTTTTCAACATACATTGCAAAGCTTGGACACTTGATCTTGATGTGCAGTGCGGCCCTGAGGTTAAGTATGTTGAATGCACTTGAAGCGTCCACCAGGAGAACGGCCTCACAATCACGCGACTCAAATATCGTTCTCATGACGTGAGTGGCAGCTCCCCCTCCAGCCTGGTGGCCAACACAAACTTGCAGGTTCCCTGCTGCTGCCCTGACATCATCCTCTATCACCTCCATTATGCATTTTCCGATGATCTGCCTCAGCACTTGCCCCACCCCTATAGGCCTACATCCTGGATTCTTATCCAGGGGAATGAGGCGGCAGGCTGTCAGAGCATGGAGATGTTGGCAACACGAGGTTGCTAGCTTTCTTGCAAGGGCAGCAATGGTGGGATAGTCACCCTGGAACCTGATGCCTTCGTCTTCACTTGCAGGGGGATGTTTTTCCTTCGGTTGTTTTAATGTCTCTCTGTTTATTGGCAGAACCCCACCGGAGGATTCCTCTGTGAGAGATCTTACCACCAAAGATACTTTTTCCACACGCATTTTGTTTCCAAACTTTCTTGCAACGTCATCGGTGTTTTGCTTTCCGTCTCCTATAAATTTTAGTCTCTCCTGCAGTGTTCTTGCTTCACATAGGAGATCATCAAGGCCCCCATTGTGCCACATTGTCAATTTTCTCTTCATTGCTGCCGCATTTTCTTTGTGCTTAGTCTTCGTGTGTGTCCTCTGACAGAATAGATGTGGTATTATTGCCAGTATTTGAAGAGCTTAAGGGGCAAGGAAGCAGTCCTGAGTGTACTCGGTTATGAGGCGAGTCATCTCCTGAATAATTTCTTTGGTGGCCATACACTAGGGTGGTTCAAACAGGTTAGCTGGCGACCACTTGACAATTTCTGAGTAAGTTTCTTTAACCCATTTGTTCACACTTTCCATCGACATGCCATTCCACTGTGGTGGCTGTCTCTCATTCACCTCGTGGACATCTGCTACTATTGGAGCAGCGTTTATTGGTACTATACATTTTCAGGTTGAGTAGACTCACTGCTATCATTTAGGATATCATCGGGCGGTTGGGTCCCGGCGATATCCACTGTGGCCTCCTGCGTCGGCTCCCTGCCATGTGGGTTCCGACAATTGTTTCCCTTTCTGCAAACCACACATGGTCGGTTGTTTCTCGCACAATCACAGCTAGTGCAATTTTGGTTCTGGCTAGCACAGACGCAACAATGTCTGTTACCCGGCATAGTGTTCTGCACTTTGGGCGACAGTTACGTCCTCCTCCGACATCTGCTTTAGTCCCATGCAGAAGAAGAAACTAGTTCTCATGAGGAAAGGGCAGAGAGGTGACAGGCTGGACTGCTGTGTCCGGGTAGTAGGGGCATACGTGCGCGCGTGGGCGTGTACTACTACTGCTAATATAATAATAATAATAATAATATAATAATAATAATAATAATAATAATAATAATAATAATAATAATAATATTAATAATGATAATAATAATAATAATAATAATAATAATAATAATAATAATAATAACAATAATAACAGTAATAATAATAATGAAAGATATATTGTTGTTAAAATAGCTATTAAATTACGCCACACCATACACGATGGACGATGGCTGATATTATTATCATAGTTGTGACATAATGTTTCAAGGTTTATAAAAGGTTTTGTAAGATCGTCTTTTTGTATGACAAGTTTACATTCTGCCATTCTATCATGTTAAGTTATTCTAATAACCATTCTAAGTTATGTGACAAGTTTTAGTCTTCTTTCTTATCATACCTGTATGTTAATTTGGCTAAATATCATGACTTATACCATTTTCCTCAGGTGTGTATAACCTGTACATCCAGCCGGTGTTAGTGGAGGACGATGCTGTGTACCAGTGTCAGGTCGGAGGCGCTGAGGGGGAGAGGCACCTCACCTCCGCGAACGCAAAGCTCACCGTCTACTTCCCCCCCAAGGACACCGACGACCAGGTCATTACAAAGTTTTGGTGGTGAAAAAGTTTTACTCAGGAAACCATTAGATAATACAAGATAAATTTACTGATATAGCAAGAGGGAGGTGCTGTAGAGTGTGGGGGGGTCTTTCAAATGGAGGAGACGCGAGGTAGTTCATGAGTCAATGTGGGTCTAGAGACGGATTAAGAATGACTTGGGCCCCGGGTGGTGGGGCCCCCTTCCCTCATGTTGACATCCTGCAGTAAATTTCACTGGTGGACTACGTGACAGAACATTACACATTCTTGTCGTATTTTATTTGGCTTCTGATAAAACACATCCAACAAACTACATAATTATCACAACCAATATTTTGATGAAACTCTGTCAGCTTAAGTCTTTTGAACGTGTTACACAGTTCAAATGCATTAAATTGAATTTTTCATGCAACACTAAATAAACATTATGTTGTTATACTGGTAAGATATGTACCCCCTCTAAGCCTGGGCCCCTCCCCTGCCTGGGTCAAAGGAGTGATGAAGGTGTTGCTGGATCATGAGTTAGGTCATAGGTCAAGAGGGTTGTGACGTTGATTCAAGATGAAGGTGATCTTAGGTAACATATCAAGGTAAGAGATAGTAGTAACGCTATTAAATGACGGAACTTACTTTTATCAGAAGCCAAACTTTAGGGTCGTTTATCTCCTAAGTGCCAGACAAACTTATCAAAGAACAGTAACAAGCGGAAACTATCACAGTTGGGTAAGAAGCTGCTAATGAATAAGTTAAACTTTTAACGATAATTATCACTCGAGTAAGGTAGATCACTGAGAGTCATCCGTCATTAAAGAATAAACACTATGATTCATACTGTCCAAAGCAGCTTCACCCAAACCTATTCAAGTTACCAACTACAACCTTTATACCTCCTTCCGTTCTAAGGGAGGTGTATGCGCCTACTGCAACACACGTACACCTATAGCTCGACTCACGGATCTTGAATCTTCTCTTTATGATGTCATCTGGCTCAAAATATCTCTACCTACTGTGACTATTTTCCTTTGTTTCTTATATTGTTCTCCCAACTCGACCAACTATTTCGAACTCTTTGACTATCTCACTTCTTGCTATGAGTCGTTGCTATCCACACACCATTAATACCGAGATCCTCTACCAAGGGGATTTCAATGACCCAGGTGGAGCTGAGGCACTCTCTTTTTCCATACTTAATGATTTGGAACAAATCATAAAATACCCTACCTGCGTTCCTGATCGACACGATCAACTTCCTAACATTCTTGATCTTTGTTTTACCTCTAACCCATCACACTATTCAAACTCAATTTCTGCCCCATTAGGGTCTTATGATCACAATCATATTTCTATTAAATCAAACTGGGACGGCCACCTCCTCACCCCCCTCTAAACGTCAACTATGGTACTATCGGAGGGCAAACTGGCAATCCTTGCGAGAATAATATTCTTCACCAACTTTTCTTGGGATGAATGTTGCTTTTCAACTCGGGACGCCTCGGAATGTACTGACAGCTTTGCTGGGGTTATACAGGGCGGTATGAGTGCATTTGTCCCATCTTCTACCAAAACTTTCATTTTATAATCATTGTTTGATCGCTCCTGCTCTCTTGCATGCAGGGAGAGAGATAGGGCATATCGAGCTATGAAATTATCTGCTTTTACTATTACCCACTCATTTTCATTATTTCTAGGAATCGTTGTAAGGCTATTCTTCGTTGGGCCAAACGGAATTTTATAAAAAGAAGGACCGCTGTCCTGACTAATTCTTCCTTAAATCCTTAAATCCTTCTGGTCCTTAACCAAAAAAAAAAAATTGTAATAACTTTGCACTTCTTCTTTTCCTCCTCTCTTCCGATCAGACAACTCTATAGTCAACTCTCCCCTGACAAAGCCAATTTCTTTGGCACCTTATTCTCCACTAACTCCACCTTAGACGATTCCTACTCTATCCATCCTACCCCTGCACCTCCTACTGAGCCTATGCACTTTCCTATAATCTCCACTTGCAGGGTTGCCGGTGTGTTATCTAGGTTGGATTTGAGTAAGGCGCATGGACTGGACGGAATACCCCCTCGTGTTCTGAGGGTGTGTGCTGAAGCTCTGGCCCCTGTGCTTGCTCGCCTCTTTCGCCTCTGCCTCAAACCCAAACATTTCCTTCTTCTTGGAAGCATGCCTTGGTTCAGCCCATCCCGGAGAAGGGTAACCATTCTAATCCCTCTAACTATTGCCCCATTGCCCTAACTTCTTCCCTCTTTAAGATTTTCGAAACTATCTTGAACTCCCATTTTGTCCGTCACCTTGAACGCCATTCTCTTTTTGTCGGATCACCAGTATGGCTTTCGCCAGGCGAGATCTACTGGTGATCTGCTCTCCTATTGCAACCATCTTTGGTCATCTTCTCTTAGGGATTATGCGGAAACTTTCGTCGTGGCCCTCGACATCTCCAAAGCATTTGACAGGGTATGGCACAAGTCTTTGCTTTCTAAACTTCCCTCTTATGGTTTCTCTCCCCCACATTGTTTTCTAATCTCTAGCTTCCTTGAGAACCGATCCATGGCAGTTATTGTCTAGGGATCGATTTCTCGCTCTTTCTCTACCAGTAATGATGTCCCACAGGGTTCTGTTCTTTCACCTTCTCCCTTCCTTCTTTTTATCATTGATTTCCTTCACACTACAACTAATTCTATCCATTCTTACGCTGATGATTCTATTCTTCACTCTTCTTCACATTTTCCCCTTCTTCCTAACTCTCAAACTAGATCTGTTTCTAAAGCTGATATCATTATTTCTATCAACGGATCTGTGCAACATCTCTGAATGGGGAGTCAGAAACTTGGTTAAATTCAATAGTAATAAAACTCAGCATTTACCAATTACACTTTCTAAATTAGGGGATGTCCCACCAATTACATTTCGGGACGCTATCATTCTGCTAAATTCTGAAATAAATATGCTAGGCCTCACCATTTCCTCCAATATGTCATGGAAATCACACATCCTTATCATAGCTAAAGCTGCCTCCCGAAAGGTGGGAATGCTGTACAGATGCCGTAGCTACTTCACTCCTGAGCAGTTGCTTCAAGTATATACAGGAATCATTCGTCCTGACTTGGAGTACTGCTCTCATATCTGGGGTGGCTCTTCTTCTGTCCTACTGTTAGATAGGGTGGAATCAAAGGCATTTCGCCTTATTAACTCTCCTCTTTTAGTCGTCAATTTCTCTTCCCTTTCTCTTCGCCGCAATGTTGCTTCACTCTCTCTCTTTTACAGGTACTTTAACGGGCAATGTTCGGTGGATTTGGCATCCTGTGTACCGCCTGCAATGCCGTGGGCTCGTAACACTCGTCTTGCCCACAGTGCCCACCGTTTCTCTGTGGATGTCGGTCACACTAGAATAACCGTTATAGTACCTCCTTCTTTCCTCACACAGCCAAACTGTGGAATGCTCTGCCTTCTTCTGTGTTTCCATACTCATACAATCTGTCTTACTTTAAAACACTGTTTTTCCGGCATCTTCGTAGTGTATATTTACCTTTCCTTTTATATTTTTAATTTCTTTCTGTTTTTATTTGTTCTCCCCCTGGCCCTGTTGTGGGTCGTTCGACCTGTACCCGGGTGGGATAATTCCCGTAAAAAGAAAAAGAAAAAAAGCTTACGTTGATTGGTTTGAATACATATAAATATAATGTTATTATTTAATTGTTTAAGTATCAATTCTCTTTCATTTCTTTCTTCTCCCACCTTTTGTTTTCCTTAAGCTTTTCTTATGATGACTGTCGAATGTGTAAGTATTTTGACCAATAGTCTTCAGTACACAGCACGGCAGTAGTGAGGGACAGGACAAGATCAATAATGTGTCTGACGGGCGTGATGACCTCCATGGGCGTGTGTGTTAGTGATTCCCTTCATCATTAAGGGTCACCGCTCCCTGTATAGTAGATACACAAGAACAGTGAATTATATTTATACCTGAAAGATTTAAATCATCTATACTTCAGTGTATCAGATAATTTTATACATGTATTATACGTTTCAATAACTCTATAAAAGCGCTCTCTCTCTCTCTCTCTCTCTCTCTCTCTCTCTCTCTCTCTCTCTACAGTATATGTAGATAGATATACAAATGTGTCCAGGCATCTTCACTTAGGTGGATCTATATACCTTTACATCTAACAGGTGCGGGCGGGGGATGAGGAAGCTAGGATGTACTGTACGAGATTATGTGTTTTTAATCTACAAACACTTGTGCCGAGAAATGTCCTTTATGATTCACTTTGAAGGGGAGATGAGAAGGTTGCAAGTGTTTACTTTCGTGGCTAATATCTTTTTTCAAGGATGCTGGAATAAATTATCAAAGAGAGAACTGAAACCCACTTCCAGCGTTGGATCTCAAAGTGTGATAATGAAGTGCAGAAATAAAGAACACAACTCTACCGGGTTGTGTGCTGGATAAATATTCAACAGGACAAAAAAAAACAGAGACAGAGAAATGAGGGAATGAATATGAATAAAAAAATTTTTTTACGGGAATTAGCTCACCCAGGCACAGGTCACTGACCCACATCGAAACCTGGGGGGCGAAAATGTAACAATAATACTACTACTACTACTACTACTAATAATAATAATAATAAGAGAGAGATGAGTAGAGTTGATGTGTTGTGAGGTGATCTGGCCATGTTGTGAGGTGATCTGGTCCTGTTGTGAGGTGATCTGGCCCTGTTGTGAGGTGATTGGCCTTGTTGTGAGGTGATGTTGGCCATGTTGTGAGGTGATTGGTCTTCTTGTGAGGTGATCTGGCCCTGTTGAGAGGTGACTGGCCATGTTGTGAGGTGATCTGGCCCTGTTGTGAGGTGACTGGCCCTGTTGTGAGGTGACTGGCCCTGTTGCCTGTGTTGGGTTGAGGGTGACTGGCCCTGTTGTGGTTAGGGTGATCTGGCCCTGTTAGAGGGCATTTATCCTGTTGGGGAGGTGACTGGTCTTGTTGTTAGGTGACTGGCC